AGAGTGTGGGTTGGGATTGGTGGTGGGTTTGATGTGTGCTGGTGACGCTGTGAAGCCGAGTGGAAAGTCATTTGTTGTTTGGGAAACGCACCAGTACTTTTGATTACCGATGACCTCGATTGGGCATGGGTTCATTATAGAATTAGAAGCAAAAGATAACAGTCCGTAAAGTCCACACTGGTCCTAGTATAAAACAGACAAACAAAAATGAACAAACAGGCAAGATGGATTTTCTATTAGTGGGGGAATAAAAAGTACTGGAATGATTATGGTTACTGAAGTAGACAAGATTACAAATAGTAATATAACTTTTACAAAGAATACTTGCAGTTTATTAGTGACATATTGCTATAGCCTGTCCCCTGCCAGTCCCTTTGTGTGAACTCAAACACTTTACTTCTAAGTAGAAAAGCCAATAGGAAGCGTTGGATCTGCAGTGAAAAATGCTGATGAGATGTTTGTGTGGCAGAAGGTGTGTAAGAAAGCCAGAGATTATTAGTATTCACAATCAGGTGGAAAAAAGTAAACGCTCCATCAGGTGGAACTAAGACATGCAATAGTTTTAGCAACTTGAATGTGTTTCGGCGTGTGTGTGTGTGTGTGTGTGTGTGTTTGAAGACAGGAGGGACAGAATAAATCAAGAGAAGGAAAGAGATTTGTAAAAGATTTTTCCACTCCAGCAGAGACAGGCAGATAAAAATGAGAGAGAGAAACGGTGTTCTCTGGCAGTCCATTACTGCAGCTACTAATGGACTATAGTGAAAAGTGAGTTAAAAGGATAACAGTTTGGTAAGTGATCTTTTTGCCCCAGGATGGCTCCTTTCACCAGAAAAACTAGCTCAGAGATTTATTTATTTTTTTTTTTAAGTAGTTACAATTTTAATTCAAGCAAAACATCTGTGTTAAAAATGTCCCATTCATTTTGTTGGAAAAGGGTATTGGTAGTACCTTCATAAAAGGCTGTCAGTTCAGTGTTCCCAAATCACTTTCAGTGCAGGTGAAGTGCTATGACACTACAGGGTTATTCTGCAACTCTTCGACACAGCATTTACTCTAGGATTTTGATTTGGCTTCTGCATCCAATCAGATGTATGAATGAGAATTTTCTTGCCTTCTCTCCAACATCTAGCTAAATTCTGCAAGCTATGTAAACTTGGGGATCATTCAAATGAGTGCTCCTAAAATGTATTGTGGACTTTCATAACTGCATGAAACAGGAAGTTACCAACAGTCACATTTAATAAAGATAATCATGAAAACAAGCATGACCTACAGAGGTAATGGCTGTCACTTTTCATTCCATTTCAGTACAGAAATGCTGAGAAGATACAGTACAGTCCTTTAAAAAGAGCAGCTGTTTCTGCCTAGAGACGCCATTAGATAATCAACAATCACACAAGGAGACAAAAATTTGAAGCAGAGAGAGCGATTTCTGCACCCACGTCCCAAAAATAGACCAGAGTGATAAGAAATTATGATTTTTGAGTAAGTGATTCAACTTTTCAAAAGCTTTGCTTTCTTTCTTGACTAAACTGTCTTCACCCACTAAAGCTCAGTGACAGAAATCATAAAAAGTAAATGAGTAATCAGATAACAAAAGCACTGCCCATTTTAGACTGATGAAAAATGCTATGACATCATTTAAGTAAATATCCAAGTGGGCTTTATTTATTTATTTTTTTAATGATGCTTTCTAGGGTTTACATGCCGCTCCACTGTGGTTAGTTGTGGTATCACGCCTAGTATACATGCACGCACAAGCACAGTGATGATTGGGAGTAAGATGAAAGAGGCTTTCAGAAATATTTTGTTTTTATTATCTATTATGCTACAGCAAATATTTTCAAGCACCGAATAGCATTAAAAAATTAAGAGAAAATACAGAGAATGTCTTTAACAAATCTAATGTTCGCTTGCTAAAGGAAGATGTATGGTTTACAGATGGATATGATCAACAAACTGTTCAGTAATGATTTAAGTTGGGCATCATTGAAATTACATTCCACCAAAAGCACAAAACATAACCTATAAAACAATACACAGGCTAATGACAAATCATGTGGTTTGCTTTCAATGCGGTGGTACCACAGATGATTTCTAGTCTATTTACACAACTGATGTCGTTACTAGCTAAGTTTTAATGCTGCACTAAGTCAAGGGGCGGGATCTATGAGTATGGCTATGCAGGTAGCTTCCGTGTGTGTGTGTGTGTGTGTGTGTGTGTGTGTATGCAAGGTTGGAGAGAATGAAGCCATGCTGAGTTGAATGGGATATAGAAACCTGTCATTTATTTATTTATTTTTGCTGCTGCAAACATGATCAGAGATCAATATCTTGAACCGTTTGGTGAAAAAGCCCTTTGTTCAGTCAAGACAATAATTATGCTTGTAGACAAACTCTCAGTTCCTCAGTATATTTTGTCTGGATTTGAGGATTTAGCTGGTTTTAGTGTTAGTTTAGCATTAGCATCTACTGGGTAAAGATATTCTTCATGTCATTCAAATCAGTCTTTGTGGTCACAGCATTAATTCACATATTTTACTAGATAAGAGTTCCTTACCAAACATAAATGGACAAAGGGGTAGAATTCAAACTAGATTCTAATACTACCAAAAAAAAAAAAAACAAAAAAAAAAAACCAAAATTAAGTGTTTAACAAATGTTCTTTTGCAGATCTACTTAATTATATGAACTTGGTCATGGATACCATTTGAAACTGACTCAAATGTGTGTAAAAGCAAAGGACCTGAAGAAATAAATCTATGAATGAATTGACAGGAAGCTGCTGCCATGGTAACTGGCCACCTCACACCCCTTTTTACCAATGGGGATTCCCTGTGCTCTTTGTCTGTGTGCAGGTGTACATCTGCAGGATAGGATGGGGTTAAGAAATGAGTCAGAGGTGATTTGCCTTCAGACAATACAATACAAAGTCGAGCAAAGATATAAAAAAAATATGCATGAAAGATAACAGGAAAATGAAGAATGTATGTGCCTAAAATTCACAGCTGAGCCCAGCCAGGGTTAAAGAGACAACCAGACTTAAACGGATGAGCATTCTGAGCTCTAAAGGATACATCTGTTGACATACCATACAGTCAGCAAATCATATTTTTATCAAAACTAATAATGAATTAATCCTACTGACCAGCGTTGTCTATGAATAGACATGCATCAGTGCCATGTAGTAGATCTCCACTGTTGTCAAAAAATCAGAAATGAGCCACACTGTTGCACGAAGTGACATGAATCTTCATCACAGTGAGCATAGGAGCCGCAGTTTATTTTAAGCTGATCCATCCTACTGCCATTAATACTCACTAGAACACCAAATCCGCAGCTGAAAAATAGCCCCCTCTGTTTGTTTCTGTATTTTTACGAAAAATTACATTGGCCAGCTTTTAGAAATTGGTTTAGCTTTTACATCTTCAGTAGGAAAGGGGCTTAGAGGTAATTGTATTGTGTAAGTTAGTTGTAAAAAGGAAATCGTTTTGATTTTCTTAGTGTGTGTGTGTGTGTGTCCTGTATTCTAGTTATGTCTGTTATGTGCTGCTCACACTAGTGAAATTCCCAGAGGATGAATACATTAGCTATCATTTTATCTCTGTCTTTCTGTGTA